AGCAGCAGCAGTCGGAGCGGTAGCAGGGTTTTATCATGGACCAGCCGCTCTTCTTACAGATGTGTGTTCGACTGCTACCACAGCACAGCACAGGCAGCACCAACAATGATACCATGCCGCTGCACAAAAATGGTCCTGAGAACCAAAAAAAAATATAGACGAGATTCATCAGGGTTCGATTACTCAGGTCACAACCCTTTTCCTAACAGGAGTCTGTGTGCGCAAGGACCTCGTGGGATTCGGGAACCTGCAAAGCCTTTTCGATATATAACATCATATAGCATAGTTGTAGGTACTATCTCATATATATATATCATAGCATGTCATGTCATGTCATGTCATGTCATGTCATGTCATGTCATGTCATGTCATATCATATGGCATAAGCACATAAGTTAACACAATTAGTGCAGTATCTCATTGCCAGGTGCTTCCAGGTCACGAGATCCACATCGATCCCGCTCTGAGCACAGACTGGACTACCTACGCATGCGTCACCGTTTTTCGAGTGCACCATCATTTAGGGTTTAGGGCATCAGTGCCAGAGCCAATAAACCATGACTAGTAGCAATGAGAATGGTTGACATAGCTGCATTTTCCAGCTGCACCCTTTCCTGGCCAATCCCGATTGATACGGATGAGTCCAAGCAACACCGCTGGCTAGCATGGTCCTATCAAGTACCTTCCCCTTGGGCTCCTGCACGCCTTTGTCAGGGCATCAACCCAAGCCTTTATGCTCTCTTCACGCGTTCGTGATAATGCTTTGTCGTGTGTTGAACGACTGCCGGCAAAGTTTGCCTAGCTTGGTTAGCTAAGATGCTAAACCCTAAACCCCTAAACCCTAAACCCCTTTTTCAAAAAAAAGAACCTAAACCCCTAGACCCTAAACCCTACGCCCTAAACCCCTAAACCCTAAACCCTAAAACCCTATCAGCCACTCTACCAAGGCGCTTCTTTTCTTCATCCTCAAGGTGCATCGAGACCGGATCCTTGAGGACTTCGGACCGTCTGAAAGCAGCCCTGAAGACACCCTTTGAGTCTGTGCGTTTAGGGTTTAGGGTGTAAGAAGCTGAGATGAAAAGTTGAGGGAAGCTCTACAGAATTTGGGGTTTGGGGTCTGCAGTTTTGGTATGGCTCCGAAGAAGCTTGTGGAAAGCACCAGAAGGCAACGGATACTTCAAGCCCAGAGAGGCCGGCAGTTTATGTGTCTACGAAGTGTGTTCGGATGTTGAAAAGTGTGAGGGCATTAAATTAAAGGGTCTTCGGAGTTTACCCTTGAACCCTAAACTTTCAGGGGTGCCGGGTTGTGCGGTCAAGGGAGGGTTGAGGTTTGATGGATATAGGTCTGGGGGGTGGGCGTTTTGGGCAGGGTTGAATAACGAGAGCTGCAGGGTTTGATGGGCGGCCCGGGTTAGACTAGGGATGTCTTGAACGTATCAGACCTTTGTTTTTGGAATGTTGCAACCTGATCGGTTTGAGGTTCGCCTAAGCCCCCAAGCCGCAAACCCCTAAACCCCCAAGCCCCAAACCCCTAAACCCCCAAATCCTCAACCCCTAAACCTAAACCCTTATAAGCCCCAAACCGCCAAACCCCCCCTAAACCCCTTAACAAAACCCCAAACCCTCTACACCCCGAGGCTCCCCCCCTGGCGGCAGGACACCACGCGTGCGCTGCAGAAAGCGACACCCGAGGATCTACGAAGGCAGCTGAAAGTGGTCTTCGAAGGCCCTCGCATTTAGGGGGGTTTAGGGGATTTAGGGGTTTAGGGGGTTTAGGGGGTTACGGCTTAGGGGTGCTATTAGGCATAGGTATAGCGTTAAAGTGGTCTTCGAAGGCCGGAGAGTACTTTTGCTAGAATGGTTTAGGGTTCAGGGTTTAGGGTCTGGGTCTGGAGGGTTAGGATTAGTATGCAGGGTTTAGGGTTTATAGGGTTAGACGTGACTATGGAAGACCTGCAGCAATAACTTGCCGAAGAACTTCAGTACGCAATGGTTGAGGCACGAGTCTGGCTCGTAACAACATAATTTTAGACAAGCGCTGCTTTCATCTTCTATGGTAGCTGTTGTAACTGCTGAAGCTGCTATGACTGCTATGAAGAGTTATGTTAGAGGTGTAAGGATAATGACCCCGCCGAAGCGGGTCTGACAGAGAGGTCTGATCATGAGTAGTGGGCGCGGTTTCAAGGTAAAGACAGATCCTATAGTCAGGCCGGAGTGTTCGGATGGCGGAGCATCGGCATCCAGTTTCGCGCGCAGTATTTATATAAACCCTATTCTAGGTAGACCTCGGTTCGGCTGCGGGGCGATGATGCCAATGACCTGCACATAAAGAGGTCATGCCTGCCTCTGCAAAATGGGTTTGCGGAGTTATCTCTGACTGGGGCTTTGGGCCAGGCGAGCAAGGCGTGGACGAAGGTGGTCTTGCTCGTGAGTTCTTCCGCCTCCTCAGCGTGCTGCCGTCACGCTTGGCGCAAGAGGTGCTCACACTTAGCAAGCATGGCCCCTTTCTGGTCCAAAAGCCGTTATGCTGGTATACCTCTAAACCTCGTTCTAAGTATATACTCGTGCCCTATATCAACTGATGCAGATTTGATTTTGCTCAGTGCCGGAAAAGCACTTGTGAAACCCAGGGAATCCGAAACATGTACCAACTCCCAGAGAATCTTCGCAAGCTTGTTGAGACGATACCAGGCTCGCGTTTTCACGGCAGAGGAGGGTGGACTCTTCGACCCTGCTGTGGCTCAAAGCATCCTGGCCCTGACCATTGATTTTTCGCATCGCTCAAGCACTTCATAGGGTTCAGCAAATACTGCAAGGGGATCCAGACTGAACACTGCAAGTAAGCGGGGTCGTGGAGCATGTCGGATTTGGGTGCGACTGGCCCAGAGACATGATATGCTCCAACCCACGCATTGACAGACAGACAGACAGACAGACAGACAGACAGACAGACAGACACACACACACACACAAGCACATATATATATATATATGTACACACACATATACATGCACATCACATACTGTGAGGCACCATGTCAAGTTGGTCCTGTCGGTTCATATTGTTGTTAGTGACGACTTCGACTTTTCAGGTTCATGTCATCAGCTTGTAGACCAAAGCCTTAAAACTGCTACTGTTTCACACTGAACCAGAGGAAGGCGTGATATCGCAATCGAATCACACCGAGTATTTGCGAAAATGCACGCTGTAATTTGAGTACGGTTAAACCTGGATGGCAAGCAACCCTGACAATGAGGATAAACGTAGCTCTCTATGTATACAATATACGCATGTGTCTCTATCTATCTATCTATCTATCCATCCATCCATCTATCTATCTATACATAGACACATACAGGCATACATACATACATAC